GTATTTTTGATGTCAAATATTAATAAAAATAAAAATGTATTATTTCTATATTTTTGTCCTAAATATTTAATAAAATATGTATCAGTATTTATATTATATATTAAATATGCTAAATATATACAAAATGAAATATTAATTATTTACAAAATAAAAGTACATTTTTAGAAAATGTTTCCAAAATGTAAATAAAAAATAATAACTAAAATATATATATATATTTTTGTATTATTTTCTAGGGTTTTAAATAAAAAGTATATTTATTTATTTACATGTATATGCTAAATAAAACAAATAAATGTCAAATAAATGCAAAAATGGGTGAAAAAATATTTTTTATATTTTTTATATTTGAGCAAAAAATAATAAGTCAGAATCAAAAAGAAAAAAATAAAAAATGATCAAAATATCACACAATGGGCCAAGGGGGTGTAAGTTGGAAAAGAGGGTGCAAAAAGCAGGTTGACTCAGGCCCAGCCCAAGTCAACTTTGTCTTCAACCTTCAGCCATTTGAAACAAAAACGCGCGCCCTTCCTTGTTCAACACTAACTCCTGATTCCTTGATTTTTAGCCAAAACTCATAACATAAACAATGTAGAGCATCAAATCACGAATTCATACATATAAAAAACTTGACCTAACTCTCAGAGATGAGGGAGAATTTCTTCATCCTCAATTTCTGACCTAAGTTTTTTCAATGTTCATGGCCAAAATTCTCACAGCACGCATAAAATAAATGAAAAGTAATCATATGTATGGCTTCAGGGCTATGAGTAGAGCATGTTTCATTCACAAACCTAAGCCTAACTCTTCCTAGATTGAGAGATAGAAGTTCATAGATTACCTGTTTCAGCTTGAATCGTGTACAGTAATGTGGCCACCTTCAATGGAGTTTGAGGATTTGTACAGCTTGCCTGAGGTCCAAGGAACCTTCTCCAACACCTAGCTTGCTTTGAATCTGCCTGTATCGAGCTATGGAAGTCAACCTGCATAGTTGAAAAGTGAAAATGGCAAACTTGGTTAGGGGTGTTACAGTCTGTATCTAGGGCTTGGGATAGTTTGTGTGGATGATATAGAATGTGTTTGGACAGGCTTGAGCAAAAATGCACGAATGGATATGGTTATGGAGGTCAAGTTGCAGAACTTGCCCTGTTTTGCAACAAAACAGGGATTCTGAGTATGAGCAGGTCTTAGGGATGGATGAGTTGTGCTTTAGGCTTGTTTTGGTGTATGAAAAATGTCTACAAAGTTTGCTCGAGCTTCTGTTTGCAGGAAGTGAGAGTTGGATATCTTTTTCCAAGTTTCTTCTAAGGTAAGCAAAGATAGTCAAGTTGGGTTATAGGCCAATACAGGTCCCTCAAGCATGCTGCAGCACTCTCTCTTGATCAGTGGGATTTGTCTACCAACTTGTGCCTCAGAGATTTTGCTTGTACTTCTTGGATTTGGTTTTTGACATAAAGCATTACTTTACAAAAATGGCAAAATTGCTTTTTCTAATTATGGATTAATCTTGCATGTAATGACCAAATGAACAAAATAAGACTTGAACACAAATGTTAAGCATTTAATTATTGAGTGTGAAGAGGTTTAGAGGCCTGCAAACCATCACAAACCCTGCTGACTTGAAAATGCCAATGTTATGAACAAGCTTTGGCCATGAACAAAAGTGAATTTTGCCCAACTTTGCAAATTCGATTCTCGCTAACCACAAGGGTGTTTGATGAGTTCTTGGACAATTTGGAAAGCTTGGAATGTGTACTACAATCCATCTTTGTAATGAAAGTTGAAATTCCAAGTGGAACCATGTGAAAAGTGGCCATGAAGTTGGACAAAAATCCTGCCTAGAATAGGTCAAAAATTTTCTAAGTTAAGAATGTTTTGCACCCTTGTTCCAAAAATCATAACTTGAGCTACAAGCTTCCTTTGAGAAAACTTTGTGAATCAAAGTTGTAGATTTTGCAATGGACTACAACTTTAATGTTTTGAGTTTTGTTTGAATCCATTTGCATCTTGGTGAAAAAATGGGACAAAGTTAGGAAAAAATAAGAAAATTTTATAACTTAGAAAATTTCTAAGTTATGAAATTTCTTCATTTTAAACCCTAATTTGCAATTTTGGGTTTCTTGATGAACAAGTTTCATAATTTGACATGTCTTGATGAAAAATGAATCTTGGCACTTGATTTTGACCAAAAAGTCAAAGTTTGACTTTTCAGTATACAGTCAAATTTGATCAGTTGACTGGAAAATTCATCTGTCAATCTTGTGCATTTGGGATCTTTTGAACTTGTTGAATAGATCCAGACAATGCCATTGAGTTCTTGAGTCCATATGTGAGCTTGGTTTGCCATTGGTTAGGCCAAACAGTCAAAAATTGCCTTTGTGCAGTCAAAACCCTAAAAATGACCATTTTGCCCTTTTGGTGATCTGATCAAATTTCCTGTGGAATTGTGATCCAACCTTGACCAAATGGTTCATATGAGTTCATAATATTGATGTGGGTCAAATTTCATGAGGTTTGACTGTCAATTGGCCACAGTTGACTTTTTCCCCAATATAGTTGATTTTTAGGTCAACTGTCCAATTGATTGGGCAAAGATTGGAATCAAGGTTTGAAACTTGGTATGGATAAACTTGTGAGTCCAACATGAAGCATGAAAGTCACTTTGGGCATTTTAGGTCAAAACATCTTTGTGCAAACTCAAACCCTAATTTGGGTCAACAGTGCAAGGAGGAGTCTTGAGCACAGCAAACCCTAACTTGATCTTGAGCTCCAAGGGTCTTGTGGTGAGAAAATATTTATGAAATGAGAGGGCAAATTTTGGGGTACAACACTGTCCATTCAGATTTCTTCTTGGTCATTCATTTTCATTTTTCTCTCTTTTCAAAACAAATATTTTTCACTTATTTATTTTGTATTAATTCTAAACCATTAGATGATGAACTGGAGGGATGGCAGAAGAGGAGCGGACGCAGGTGATCTATTTCCCCTAAACATAGTGATTTTCAAAAAGATTTAGCCGATCATTATTATTTTAATACCTAAAGCCTCCCATGTATCAATCTAATCAAATGATCGATTCTTTAACAAATGAAATCAATAATTGATACTAACAACCTGTCTAATTAAATGCTAATTTTCAAAAAAAAAAATATTTTCATTAATATTATTTCGTTTAAAAAAACAAGGGTTAAATGCCTTCTACCCATGCAATAGTAGCGAGATTTGATTTACCCTTTTTTTTTAAAATTATTTAATTTTATAAAATCTTGGCATTGTTAAAAATTATGCATCTAGTGGGTTTTAAACCCTGCACCTTCTACTTGCAAACCCTGCATTCAACCACTACACTAATTATTTCAATTTGTATATTACTCACTTTAATTGTCTATACTCATCCCATGTCTATACTCTTTGAAACATGCCAACCTCCTGAGTTCTTCAACTTCATCAATGATCAAATCCGTTTTGCCACCGTTTTTACAAGCAGTGCGAGAAATATCTCTAAAAAAAGTTATTGTGTTGTGGTTCGTATATATTTGAAGCATATGAAAAGCAATGTATGATTACATATTTAAAAACAAGGTGGTGAAGATGGAGCAAGTGATTGAATAAGTACAAAAGAATGTGAGGAACTGATTAAACGTCCAATCTAATAACTTAAAGTGTTATGTTACCAATGTCATATGAATCTTAGGTTATGCTTTGGAGTTATAGATAGGTGATGATGGTTAAATGATATGCTTAAAAACATTGTAAAAGTTCAAGGGTTTGTTGAGTATTCACAGGTAGTCAAGCAGGATAGTCATGAAGTTGAGGTCATGGAGCCTTGGATCATATTTTCATAACTGAATTCAATGAAGAAATTCCATACCGGCTTTGGCGTGGCTTCAACTAATTTCAGTTAGGATTTATGATCATGTTAGGATGATGGTTAGTTGGTCTGTTGTAAGTGAGTGTTTTTGGAAAAGAAAGAAATTGGTTGCGGCACATTTTGTCAGCAACAAATATATGCGTTGATCTATTTGAATAGTCAATATTATGTTTCTACATAGCCAAAAGAAATTGAGAGTTTATGTATTTTGTGTAGTTTTCATGTTGTTGTATGAATTATGAAGAAATGGTTGTTGAAACCTTAGATCTGGTAGGATGTCCTTGTCCTGAACTAGATTACTGATGTAATTTTTGATGGAATTGATTGTGTATATCCAAAGAATATCCAGAGTATAGACACGGTGATGAGTATAGACAATTAAAATGAGTAATATACAAACTGAAACAATTAGTGTAATGGTCGAGTGTAGGGTTTGCAAGTAGAGGATACAGGGTTCAAAATTCACATAATATATGTTTTTTAACAATGCACAAATTTTATACAATTAAATAACCCAGTTAACAAATAGATCATAGCCGCGTCTGCATCTCAAATAGAATTTTGGACAAATAATTATAAAGTCATAGATGTATGAACAAATACCATATTAGAACTTAAATTCCAAAGTCAATTTTCTTATATCATACTTCAAGTCTAAATTTGAAATATTAATAATTTTTCCATATGAAATGGCCAAACACCAAGGAATGGTGTGTGCTTAATTTAAATTAATTTTAGGGTAATTAAAAGTTGTGAACTTATTAACTTTGATACCGACACGATGGCTTATGATCTACCCGATCTATTACACCGCATATATGGTTTTTGGCCAACACATATATAGGACACATGGTGGGAGCAAGCTTGCCCCATATTGATGATAAGAACTGTACGAAGTCGTTAGCTTCATCATTAACTAATAAATGCAATCTCACTTATAGTTTCTGTTGATAGGTGCAAGTTTTACTCTTTTTACTTCTAACTTTTAATGCTGTGTGGGTCTATAAATAGAACTCCTCGCCAACCATTCTCATCATAAGTGCAAAGCAAGGTTTTATATAATTGTGTGTCTTACATTGCTCAATTTAAGATGGGAAGTTTACACAAATATGTTGGAGTTTTTGTTGTTATGTTTGTGTTGGTGATAGGAACTTGTGAATGTAGAAAATTTAAGAAAGAAGAATTTGTTGAGAATTTTGGTGGAGGAGGAGGTTTAGGGGGTGGTGGTGGAGGTGGAGGTGGTTTAGGTGGTGGTGGTGCAGGGAAAGGTTTTGGTGGTGGTTTTGGTGGCGGGAGTGGTGGAAGTGGTGGTGGATTTGGAGGCGGTGGTGGAGGTGGTAGTGGTGGTGGTTTAGGAGGAGGAAGTGGAAGTGGTTATGGTGGAGGTTTTGGAGGTGGTGATGGTGGTGGTGGTGGAGGCTTTGGAGGTGGATCTGGTGGAGGTAATGGAGATGGAGTAGGTGGGGGAAGTGGTGGAGGCTTTGGAGGTGGTGCTGGAAGTGATGGTGGTGGTGGTGGTGGAGGTTTTGGAGGTGGTGGCGGAAGTGGTGGTGGAGCTGGTGGAGGCTTTGGAGGTGGTGCCGGAAGTGGTGGTGATGGTGCTGGTGGAGGCTTAGGTGGCGGTGCAGGCGGTGGTTTTTGAGGGGGTGATAATGATAGGGTTTAAATTAAAATGTTTGTTATGTTCCTATTTGAAATGTAATGTGTGATTTATGAGAGTAATGAAATAAAAACTACTTTTTCTTAAATGTCATATGATTGTGATCTTATTCTTCTTCTTTGGCTTACAATATGAGGTAACGAAATATTGTGTTTTTTATTTTCGTATAAGAATGATTCATAATTATTTTTGGATGGAGTTTGAAAGTCCATGGCCGAAAAATGGCAAGGGTCACTTCTTACACCTTGAACAATTATACTATACTATATTGTAGAAAAGATACTACACCAATTTTATTAAAAACATGTTAAAAAGTACACGTGAGATGACATGTAATCGTTCTTTTTTCTTAAATAACTTGAAAATCTTTATTTTAATTTTTAACTTTTCTACACTAATTATTCTATAAGAGAATAAATATCTTTTGTTTAACATTTGATCTAGGTTGTAATAAAAAAATGGTGTTAAAAGTTGGAATGTCTCACATTTGATAAGAGTAGATGTTAGGAATACTTTATATATAAGATATGACTTTTTTTTACCATATTTAGTATAATTTCTGTATTTTGTACATATCTGTATTCAGTATTGTATCCTTGCCACACCAGCTTAGTACTAAGCAAGATTACCACCCAATAGTTATTGGGCTTATCCTCTTTGTATATAAGTCACTCTTGTAATCTACTCAATACTGAATAAGAAGAATACAATTTTCATTCTGTTATTTCAGTCCTTTCTTGTTATGCTTCTTCTTCTTCAAGATTTACATGGTGAGTGCTTCACCATTAACATGGTATCAGAGCTTAAAGCTCTGATAGCCATCCTTTTTCTTGTTTCTGCTTGATTGCAACTTTTTCCTCCTTGCGCCTTGGCCCTTTCTCTTCTGGTTGCATATCTTTTCTTCTGTTCTTGCAGAACTTCTCCTTCTTGCTAATCCTTCCCGTTGTACCCCAAAATTTGCCTTCATGTTTTTCCAAGATTTTCCTCTTGCATAGGTGGTTATAAACCTTTGCCTAAAGGCAAGTAAATTTTTCAATTGATGGTTAAGTATCTTTCGATTGACATCTGCAAAATGCCTTTCGATTGGCATCTGCATAGCGCCCTTAGATTGGCATGGACAAAGGTCCTTCGATTGGCATTTTAACAAGGTCTTTCGATTGGCATTTTAGAAAAGTCTTTCGATTGGAATCAGAACAAAGACGTCTTCAATTTCCATCTTAACGTTGCTTCGATGGGTCTAAACTTAAGGAAATCGAAGAGAACAAAACAAAGTTTTCGAGCGGTCAACAATGCCCTTCGATTGGCATTTCAACAAAACCTTTCGATTGTCCTTGTAACAAGATCCTTCGATTGACATTTCAACAAGGTCTTCGATTGGCATGGATACAAGGCCTTTCGATTGGCCTCATGGCTAAGCCCTTCGATTGGCATGGCAAAGAATCTTTCAATTTAACATCTCAAACCAGGCAGCTTCGACAGGCATGTTAACTAAGCACCCTTCGATTGGTATGGATAAAGGCCCTTCGATTGGCATTCCAAAAGATCCATTCGAAGAAGCCTTCAGAAGGCCCATTCGAAGCATGCATAAGAAGTCCATTCGAAGATGGCAACTCATAGGCCAATCGAAGAGAAATGCTGGAGGGTATTCGAAGGGGTCAAGTGTCTAAGTTCATCAAAGATTTCCAAAGAGACATGAATTTTTCCAAAAAAAGGAATGCTTTTAATTCGTCTGATTCTTGTCTCATGGCTTTAAAGGCCTGTTTAATTGGTTGTCTCTTGCCGTTACTGGACTGTGATACGGTGGGAGAACTGACTATGGTTTTGCGTTTGTTTTCGCAAATGTTTCGGTCGAGCAAGAGTCGCCACCGACTTTTTATTTTATCCTAAGGAAAGGTTTAAAAAGCACAGCAAAAACCTTTGAAATTTTTCTTGGGTTCGGGGAGTAGATTATAGAAGGGGAAGGTATTAACACCCCTTCTATCCATGGTTATCCATGGGCTCTTAGGTACTTGCTTAGATCAACTTGCCTTGGTTGTCAATTGTTTGAAATGGTGCTTTATGTGTGGTTTTGAAAGTGTTTTAAAAAAGATGCCTTGTATAGGCTACCCTTGTAACAATTCTTTACTCGAATGTTTTACAAAAGGTGTTTGTCTTTTCGAAAAGATGTTTCAAGGTTTTTTTTGAAAGTTTGTTTGAAAGTGTTTGCGAAGTGGGTTTTGAAATTAGGAAAGTGTTTTCTTGGAAAGTTGACAAGTACTTGAGGGCTTATCTACCCTAAAGTTTTCTCAAAGATTTTTGTTATGTTTCAAACCTTTTGACAATTTTGTTCCACCATTGCATTTGGTGGACAATCTTGTCTTAGGAGGTGAAAGGGACAGGCGCGGGTCATCGTTTAGACCATAGTTGCAATAGTGTTAAATGTCTTTGGGCAATTTTCTTTGAAAGGGACTTGATCATTCATTTAAGCAACATTTTGAGGGACAATGATCATTTGATTGTTTTGTTTTGCCCAAAGAAGTTCAACATGCAATATGGCCCAATAATAAAAGGCAACAAGGTGGAATATCCTAGGGGTGCAAGTGTGAAATGTGTTGTCCATTTTTCATGCTCATTTATCTTGTATTAGGTCCAACTATTTTGTTCAATTTTATTCGCATACAAAACCCTAATTCTAGCATAGTATGTTTAGAGAGCGATAAAAGTGCGAAATTTAAATTCCTACGCTATTGCATCACAATAATATAGGGAGGGGGGTACAATGTTCAAATGGGGATATTTAGACAAGAAGTTAAATCTAAAACTATTACACCATTTTTATGAATATTTACAAGATAAATAAAATGTATAATTTTAAATGGTAAATAAAACAAATATGCAAGTATGCAAAAAATGTTTTTTATATGTATGAGAAAAAGTATTATTTATAAAAAATAAGAAAAGAATTATTTTTGGAATATTTTCACATTTAGGGTAAAACCCTAATTTTTAATCAAAGGGACATTAATTTAATTAATTCACATAATATTTATTATATACAAAAAAAATAAAAATAAAATATGGTATATTTGTAAAAAAGGTATTTTTTAGTATTAAATATTAAAGAACAAAGTATGCACATTTTTTGGTATTTTTCTCCTAAGTATATTAATGAATATATGTATATATGTATTATTTTAAATATGTATCATATATATAAATAATAATAATATTCAATATTTTTTAGAAAATAGTATCTTTTATATAAAATATTTTTAGAGGGTAAAATAAAATAAAAATGAAAATGAACATGTATTTACACTATTTTTCCTATTTATTCCAAATAACAATATATATCTATTTATGTATAAATCAAAAGAAAGTCAAATAAATACCTAATAAAATCCAAAATGGTGAGAAAAAATATTTTTAAATTTTTAATGTCATGAGGAAAAATAAATAAGTCAAACAAAAAAAGAAAAAGTCAAAAAGAATTAAAAATAAAGCAAATGGGCCCAGGGGGTGTAATAACAAAATCAGGGTGCAAAAAGAAATAACAACAAGCCCAGCCCAGGAAGCTGTTGTCTTCAACCTTCAGACAACAAAATTAAAAAAAACGCGCGCCTGCTTCTCAAGTTCCTAACTCCTGATCCTTTGATCTTTTGCCAAATCTTCCAACATGAAACCTGTAGAGCTTGAAGCCACGGTTCTAGACATATAAAGAAGTCAAACTAACTCTCAGAAACGAGAGAGAATTTCTTCTCCCCCAAATCCTGACCTAATCTTTCTGCCATTTTTAAACCTTAAATTCTCTTAACTCAGGCAAAAGAAATGAAAAGTAAAGATATGTACATGTTCAGTGGCATGAGTAGGACATTGTTTCTTTACAAACTTAAGACTAATGATGCATAATAAGAGAGATACGAGTTCAAAAAACTACCTGTTCAGCTGAAGTTCCAACTGGCAAATGGGGAGCTTACAGTGCAAGATACTGATTGGTATAGCTTCCTTGAGGTGTGGTGATGTTGTTCCAATATCTACTTTGCCTTGAAACACCTTGAACTGAGCTGTAGAACTTCAACTGCAAAATGGAAAAGTGAAAATGTTGGAACTTGTTAGAGGAATTACAGGTCGTGTTTCAAGGCATGCTTAGGTTGCATATGTGCTAGGGAATGTGTAGGAACTGATTTTGGCAAAAGAACTTGAAGGAAATGGAAGGTAGCACTCAAACTGCAGGCTTTCCCCTGTTTGTGCAGTTTGAGAGTGATTATGGCAATGGGAGTGTTTGAGAGGTGCAAGGGTCGTGTCTCAGCTTGGTTATGATGTCTTGAGTATGTTTGATAAGTTTGTTCTTGTGTCCTTTTGCTGATATGAGAGTTGGTTTCAGTTATGGAACTTTTCTTCAACTTTAAGCAACAAAATGCAACTTGTGTTTCTAGGTCAGTAGAGGACCCCCTAATGGGCTGTATAATCCCTCCTTGATCAGAGTAATTTGTCCATAATCTTGTGCCAATCAGATTTGCAATGTACTTGTTGGATTTCCAATTGGACATAAAGTTAACTTTTGCAAAAATGGAAAGAAAGCTTTATCTAATTTGGGATTAATCTTGCATACAATGTCCAAACTCATAGAATAACACCTTAACACAATGAATATGCATTAAATTATGGAGTGTAGATGAGATAAAAGACCTGTAATCTATCTTAAGGCATGCTGAGTTCAAATTGCAAGGTTATGGACATGTAACTTGGTCATGAACAAAGTGAGTTTTTGCCAACTTGTGAAATTCGAATCTCTCAAGTTATGAGGTTGTTTGATGAGTTTTTGGACATTTTGGAAAGTTTGGAATGTGTACTACAATCCATCTTTGAAATGCAAATTGAAATTCCAAGTGGAAGTGTATGGAAAATGGCCTTGAAGTGGGGTAGAAAACCTTGTCAAAATAGGTTAAAATCTCACTAAGTTAAGAATGGTTTAGTGCCCTTATTCAAAAATTTGTAACTTG